GTTCATCCTGTTTTTCAATGCAGTGCCTTAGTTCCTAATGGCACTGAAAGTTCCTAAACAATGGAGACAGTGTATGTATGACACGCCATGGCATTCCTACATACGTGGTACATGATGACCCAGCATGTCTTCCCCTCAGAGAGAACTTTTTTGATCACTCTCTCTAAATAGCAACTCCCATTACTCTTTGTCCTCCTGCTGTGTTGACACCCTGTGCTATGCTCTTTATAAATGTGTTTATTGTCAGTTTTCTTTGCTAGGAGGAAAGCTGCATGAGGATTAGTACTTGATTCTGTTCACCACTGAATCCTAAGACTCTAAAGCAGGGTTTGGCTCACAACAGGTATTCAAAACTTTTTTGAATGGATGACTGCATACATGAGTAAGAACAGACTCTAAAGTAGCAGACAAAAGACCACAACTGCTGTCATAGGAGTGGGTAACCACAGAAGATAGTGCTAATGAATTGAGAGGAGGAGACTCATAAGAAACTTCAAGATCTGAAACCCAGAGTAGCTTATGAACTAAATAATTTTTGTCTCTTTCATCTATTCTATAGCCCACTGTATACCCTGGAAAGATGAGTTTTACAGATGCATTATGCAGGTAATGTTCCCTTGCCCTTTAGACTATGGTTGAGTTTAGTCAATGGGAGTCTTCATCAGTATATCAAAGGAGATAGAAAGTGAAGATATTTATTCCTTCAGCTTCCTCTTTGACATCATTCTCTACTGAAGGTTTCCCCTTATCAGAAAGTGCTCTCCTACAACCATAGCTCTGGCAAGGTCTACTAACTGCGTTATCTCCTTATCCTTCCAGACTTGGGGGTAGTGAGAGCATCTCCCAAATGCCAGCTTCAGGGTGCTTCATCATCCCTTATTAGTTGCCTTATCATGTATACTTTTTGTAAATAGTTCCTTCACTAAACTCTTTTAATCATTCTCAGACAGGAAGGACTCTACCAGACACAGCTCAAAAATCCCTTCAAGTAGCAACAAGAATGGTAGGTCAAGGAATTAGAGTCAGAAAGAAAGAGATATTTCTGCCTCTAAATCCATTATGGTAAGGGTCAGGACAGTCCCATCTGAAGACCAAACCTCAAAGACAACCACCTTGAACAACAGCACTCCAAAGTCCAACTTTCAAGGAGGATTCTACCCCTTCCATCTTTGAGTTCTTTCACATTGTTGTAGTTCAGATGTTCCCTCAAAATCAATGTGGTAAACTTTGATTGTATTGAAAAGGTGTTAAATAAAAACTAAACCCCTCATGCTCATCCTCACTGGGGTATTGGGGCATGATAAGGTCATTAGGGTGGAGCATCTAAGATGCATTTTTTAAGAGGGTAAATGAGGTCAGAATAGACAGAAGAGTATGCACAGCTGCCTAAGATCCCATCCTCTGCCGTCTTGTAGCCTCATACTTTTTGACTTTCCAGCCACTAAAATCATGAGTCAAATAAACCTCTATCCTCTACAAATCACACAGTCTCGGTTATTTCTGTAAGCAATACAATAGTAGACTAATAAATAAAAACAAACTAGACATTCTCAGCCTTGAGCCTCCCTTTTGAAAACATATTTGTTATTATTTTTTTTTAATTTGATGAGAGAAGGAGAGAGAGAGAGAGAGAGAAAGTGAGAGAGCAAGGTGCCAGGTTGGAGACTCAAACTGTGGTCAGCCATGTGGAAGTCCAGCACCTTAATCACCACACTACCTGCTGTCCCTAATCTTCCCTTTTGGACTTAGTGGCTAAACAATTTCCCCATTGGACCTTTGATTTTTGCTAAGGACTTTGACTCATACCCACCATTCTGACTGTGCTCCTGGATGCATGATACATTGACTGAGATCCTCTGGTACAGCACCCTGGGATGTGTCTGTGTGTCTGTGTGTGTTTATGCATGTGTATGTATGTGTGGTGTGCACACACATGAGTGCAAATGTTGAGTTGGGAACAGAGGGATGCCAAATTGCCCAAGTCTGAATTTTGGCCCCCCCCACTTACTAGATGCATGACTAGGGTAAATGATATATTCTCTCTGTTCCTCAATTTCCTAATCTGTAAATCTATGTGTGTGTGTGTGTGTGTGTGTGTGTATGTGTGTGTACTTTTTTCTCAAAAGTAATGATGTGTTTCTGCATAGAAAAACATAGAAAAAATGTCATGACTTTTCAACCAACCATACATATATATTTAAGTACCTACTTTATAAGGTTGTTGTATGATTACAAATGCTGTTTATTAAATATTTTCAGTTGTTATCTTACCCTCCTCATTTTGGATAACATAGTAAATTTGTTCCTGACTATTTAGTGAAATTGAAAGGTCATAAGATTAGTTGTGGCCAATAAGTGGTGAGCAGAAGTGATGTGTGTCATTTAACTACTGATGTGAGATCTAGAAATTTCCTTTCCTCTGCCACAAAGTCCATGTACCTGGGAGGCATCCAAAGTATAGCAGAAGGAACTCAAAGATGGAGGATGAAATCTTCCTTGGGAGCCAGCCTTTGTAGTGTTGCTGCTCAAGGGGATTGTCTTTGGAGTCTGCCCTTCACAGGAGGACTAGTCTGACCCATTGTCATAATGGATTTACAGGCAGAAACCTTGTCACGCCAGTGTGAGAACTGTGTAGAGCAGAACCCCCAACATACCCAAATGGACAGTTAGCAAGAGAGAGAAGTAAGCTTTGTCTTTGTCAAACAGCAAAGACTGGGGGAGTCTTTGTTACTACAGCATAACACAGCCTGTACTGACTGAAATAGTTATTGTAAAGACTGAGATAAATCATAAAAAGCTCTTTGCATAGTGTTGAACACACAGAAAAGACTCAATAAACATTGATTATTGTCATTTGTATGACTGTGACTACTTTTATACTTTCATAGATATGGATATGTGTATATGTAGATATGTGTGTGTTTGTGTTCCTTTTATCAGATCAAATAGTGTGAATAACCTTATATCCTGGGCATTAGACAAGTGTGAAGTGGGGTATGGTTCTAAACTCTTCGGACAGTTTAATGGTACAGTTCCCTGACCTGAGCCTTTCCTAAAAGGGTGACCTAACATCAGTGTCACAGGCAGACTTAGTAACTATGCCCCAAACACTTTAACAGGCAAAACATATTATAAATTTAACTTTCCAGTATAGACTAACATGGTAGCAAAACCAGAGACGGTTCCTTTGACCATGGATTAGACACAGAACAGAGCCTGTTTTGGATCATCTTTTCATTCAGTCTGAATGATTGCTGGTCTGTGGGGACCACAGAAGACCTCCAATTAATTATTACTGGAGAACATGAAATCATAAACAAAATTCCTTGTAATAAATTTTTCAAATGAGATCGCATGTTTTATTTACAGAACTGGCCCATTTTGGGCTTTCAGTCTATGAACAAAAACAAACATGCTTTTTTTATCAAACAGGCAGGGAAAAAAGTACTCAATAGCCTTTCTTTCTCTCCTTGCCAAGGAGGACATGTGCTCCGTGCTAGAGAGGAAGGCAGACCCAGGCTCTGTTGGCCAGAAGAAGAAATTGATTCATTTTGCTTTCCAGAGGAAGGTTTAAGCTATAATGATTCTTGCACATGGTGGGGGGGCAGGGAAAATGAAAGGAAAAAAAGAATACAAAGGATCCTACTGAGGTTTGGATGATTTACTTCTTAATTCAGCATGGTATCCAGGTAGAAAATACAACATAGGCAATGTGTAAACTTCTATAACCAAAGCAGCTACCATTAGGCATATTTCCATTGCTAAGAATCAGAAGCCCACTTGATCTGAACTTACAGCAGAAAAAGGAGAGGAAGTAGGAGGCAGATTTTGGCTTAAGATTTCATTTTCCCCTGGTCTTCTTATAGCCTAGCGGGATCATTCTGAACCCTGGAGATTAGGCACATTTTTAAAATGTAAACTCACACCAGTTCTCATAGCCCCAGATCTAGAAATTCTGTGGTCAAAATACCTAGGAAAAAAAATGTGTGCTCTGATAAATATCAGTAATGAATCAGAGAAAAGAATGCAGGTATATTGGAATAATGAAATGGCCCATTAAAATCTCAGCTGGGTACCTATTTGGGGCAAAACTCTGAGAGTTTACGCTATTTTCCAGTATGTAGTGAAAGCATAATCTAAGCAGCAATACATTGTGATATACCTCTGCGTCTGCTGTAAAAAATCATCCCAAACTTGGTAACTTAGAATAACAGAAACTTATTCTCTGACATTCCTGCAGGCCAAAGTTCTGAAATCAGTATCGCTGGGTTAAAAATCTAGCTACTGGCAGGGCCAGGCTCCCTCCAGAGTCTCTAGGAAAAAAAAAATCCATTTCTGCAATCTCCCAGCTTCTGATGGCTAATCAACATTCTTTGGCTTGTGGCCACATCATTCCAAACTCTGCTGCCATCCTCTCATTGTCTTCTCTTCTGCCTGTATCTCTTCTCCCTCTGCCTCTTTTTTTTAATTTATTTTTTATTTTTTATTTTTTTTGGTGAGGACATTTGTAATTGCACTTAGAGGCCATTGAAATAATCTAGGGTAATCTTCCCATTTTAAGATCTTTAATCATAGCTGCAAAGACACTTTTCTCATGAGGGTAACATTTACAGGGTCCAGTGTTAGGAAATTGATATATTTGAGGATCATTGCTGAGCCTACTCTAGTCTCCAATAGTTACAAAGTAAGGGTACAGAACCAGGAGAGGATATAGAATTACGTTATCACTCTCGGTGATGCACCTGCAGAATTAGTTTTCCCATCACCGTAACTTCACGTTCTGCTGGGTTAATGATCCTGGTTGCCAGGGAAGGGATATTTCCTCCAAGAGGCATGATAAGTATTCCACCCAATCTGAAGCTAGATTGCTACCAGATCAGTAGGGCTTCCCATGCTTGTAGAGCAGCAGGTAAGGAAATGAATTATTGTGTTGGAAGGACCGAGGTTGCTAACATAAAATGGGAAAGGAGAGGAATACAGCTAGAACTCAGAAGGCTTACAAGCAGTGTCTTTTGGTTCTTTCATACTCAGTCAAAATGGTGAGTTGACAATTGTAGCATCCAAATCCCGACAAGAGTAAGGCTACTGAAGACTCAGAGTTCTCGGAGATCAGATCACCGGAATGGGCCAGCAACCTTAAGAAACATTGGAGGAGGGACATTTAGAGTGGATGGGAGAAGAGAGAGATAGTCAAAGTAATGTAAAAACTCAATGATGGCTAGAATTAGTTCAATTAAGCCTCCTGGATGAAGTGTCTTTAAGAGTGAAGGCTCCGTTGGCAGGGAAACACAAGTAGATCTGAGTTGTACCAAGACTGAACCCTAGAGGTGCCTTTGGCTCCTACATGGATGCTGTGGGTATCTTCTAGATTCTTGCTTCATGGCTAAAGTTTTTATTCCCCCAGAGGCTAAGAGTGTCACTTGATGACAGCTTCTACTGAGACCCTCTCCTGGCATTTCCATTTGCTGAGGGGAAACCCTAGTTTACCTCTCCCCAGGAAGCACACATTCAATGATGGGTGGATGTAGAGGACCAAGGTGGAAGTGCCTTGCCTTTATTTGAAACATCCATCTCTGGAGGACCATCTCAGCTTCAGAGATACATCAGGGATTGGCTTAAGCCCAATTGCAAATACATTACTACTCAACCTCTGCCTCTGCCCTATGCTGTTTTTGTTGCTCTCTTAGAATTATTTTTCTCTGGATCACATCCCAATTAACCAATACATTTTCACTTAGTCTGTTCCTAGGAGTCTCAACCAAAGACAGTACTCCCCCCATGTAACCTCCCCTGATCCCACCTCTGACTTCAACCACAGCTTCAGTGGGCACTTCCACATCCATCTCACTGGGAAATCATTCCTAAAAGAGGTAGCATTTGGGAAAAGCAGTGTGTGGTGAGGAGGGCCTGCTAGGTTGGAGAACAGGATGAGTAAAGGTCTAGGAACAAGAAAGGGCAGGGCTTGGTTGAACCATTTGGAAAAGCCTAGGTAGGATGAGGTGTTAGTTATGTGAATGAAGGTCCCTGAAGATAAAGGTAAAGGTGAAGACTGTAGGGGACTCCTGGATGCCAAAAAATGGAGTCTGGGTATTGTTCCTCTTTGGAAAGCATTCAGGACACACAACTTGTCACTTTTTTGTTTGTTTGTTTGTTTTGTTTAGTTCTTGGGAGACAAAGAGAGAGAGAGGCACCCTTGAAAGGGTACCTTGGTGCACACTGCACCTGGCATGATCTGAGTCTACGTTGACCAAGTGCCTTCCAGCATTGCAGATCAGTACACTACCATCTGCACCCCCAAGGCTGGGGCACACTACAGACGCTTCACAAGAAAGGGAGAGGCAACTTTTTTATTGGTTCCAGGAGAGAGGAGGTGAGAGAGCCTATAGACAACTAATCAAAAGAGCATTTATTGAACACTTACTATACCAAATACTGACTTTTGTATATACTATCTAATGTAATCCTTACAGCAACCTTATGAGATTGGTACTGATAATACCTCTACTTTATAGATGAGAAAGCAGAGATAGAACAAGCTAACTAATTTACTCCTGGTTCGCCAGTAAGTGATGAAACTGTTAATGTGATTAAGACAGTCTGGCTCCAATGTCCAGCATTTAACCATTAGGCTGGGCAAGGCAAGGGACTGGCAAGATTGGCTGTCGTCAAAAGCTTTAAGAGAGTCTTAACACTGTTAGTCTTCTGTTCATCATGGGGTGGGGCCTGGGAAGTAGAAGCAAGGCCTGATCTCTAATTAGTCCTCCTTCCTGGGGGAGGGACTAGCATCATTTCTGGCATTACTGCAAAAGTCTCCCTAGTTTTCTGTAGGTTTGAGCTACTCCATGGGCTATACACTCCACGGATCTGTTTTCAAGCCTGCAAGCATCCTGAAGACTCTGGCTGGAATCTCCTAGTTCAACTTATGGTTATTTGCAACCATTTCTGTCATTGGCTTTGAATCTCCAAGTTTTCACCTCTTCAAATGTAACTTTATCTTTAAGTAGTCCCATTAGGATATCAATTATTTATGGAACATCATCCAAGGACAGACCTAGCTACTTCATGGTGTTTACTCATTAATAACAATAGCCAACACAGATACTTATATGCATGTTATCATTTCATTCTTACAACAACCTTATGAGGTACGTATTATTATTAGCTCCATATTTCAATAAAGGAAGTTGAGATATAAAGAGGCAAGCTAACAAATTCAAGTCACTCAGTTGTAGAGAGTTGAAGAAATTGATGGAGCCATTTCACTAGGTCTACTTGAAAGCATCATTAAGTTTCTGGGAACTCAGCTAAGGTGATTGTGGGCTCTCTGGGCTCTTATCTCTGAAACTCTCTCATATCAGGCATTGCTTCTGCCAGAAAAAGCTATAAAGATTCTCTTGTTTCCTAAATGCCTCTTCTGAGCCCAAATCTTTGTCACAATTTGGGTGATTTCACTCTTTTGATGCCCTGGGAGGGAGGTAAGCTGTAGCTATCCTTATCTCTATTTTATAGATAAAAACCTGAAGATCGAATGTAATTCTTCACTTAAGTTCACATAATTGTCTTCGAAGGACTCAGAGTCTCCACCCAGTCATGGTGGCACAGGTGGTAGCACACTGTCCTGCATTGCTGAAAGCCACATGACAGCCATGGTCAAGTCCCCAGCTCAGTAAGCCTGTAATAGTCTGGGCATGTACATGAGAGCCCAAGATCAGACATACTGGAGAACTAGAGGAAGAGGATCAGGAGGAAGGGGATCAGAGTGTGACCAGATCACTCTGGACAGTGCATCTCTCTCTCTCTCTCTCATGTACACATGCTCTATTTTAAGTAAAGAAGAAAAAATTCAAAGGGCTCATAGTCTATACAGGAGGAAAAATATGTCTACAAAAATGAATTGATACAAGAGAGGATAGCCAGTTAATTATCACACGCTGTGAGAGTATCCAGAAGGGAATACCCGATTCCATGTTGTGGTAGCAGGAGCTGGTGTGAAGGTATGGAGGAAGGGCCTGGAAAGAGGTCACAGTGCAGTATTTGCACTGAGTTTAAGGGAGAGGAGGCGTAATCTAGGGAGGCAGCGGAAGAAGGGATTTCAAGCCATGCAGGGAACAACCATCCAGTGAGCATATTCTGGATGGGTTGGCAGGCATAACAAGAGCCCTGGGGGAGATGAGAAGATGCAAGAGAGGAGAGGGAAGCAAGAGTCACATCTGAGAGGGTTCTGTGAGGGCTGCTGTTGAGTTTGAATATAAACCTATAAAAAAAAAATACTCATTAATAACAATAGCCAACACAGATACTTATATGCATGTTATCATTTCATTCTTACAACAACCTTATGAGGTACGTATTATTATTAGCTCCATATTTCAATAAAGGAAGTTGAGATATAAAGAGGCAAGCTAACAAATTCAAGTCACTCAGTTGTAGAGAGTTGAAGAAATTGATGGAGCCATTTCACTAGGTCTACTTGAAAGCATCATTAAGTTTCTGGGAACTCAGCTAAGGTGATTGTGGGCTCTCTGGGCTCTTATCTCTGAAACTCTCTCATATCAGGCATTGCTTCTGCCAGAAAAAGCTATAAAGATTCTCTTGTTTCCTAAATGCCTCTTCTGAGCCCAAATCTTTGTCACAATTTGGGTGATTTCACTCTTTTGATGCCCTGGGAGGGAGGTAAGCTGTAGCTATCCTTATCTCTATTTTATAGATAAAAACCTGAAGATCGAATGTAATTCTTCACTTAAGTTCACATAATTGTCTTCGAAGGACTCAGAGTCTCCACCCAGTCATGGTGGCACAGGTGGTAGCACACTGTCCTGCATTGCTGAAAGCCACATGACAGCCATGGTCAAGTCCCCAGCTCAGTAAGCCTGTAATAGTCTGGGCATGTACATGAGAGCCCAAGATCAGACATACTGGAGAACTAGAGGAAGAGGATCAGGAGGAAGGGGATCAGAGTGTGACCAGATCACTCTGGACAGTGCATCTCTCTCTCTCATGTACACATGCTCTATTTTAAGTAAAGAAGAAAAAATTCAAAGGGCTCATAGTCTATACAGGAGGAAAAATATGTCTACAAAAATGAATTGATACAAGAGAGGATAGCCAGTTAATTATCACACGCTGTGAGAGTATCCAGAAGGGAATACCCGATTCCATGTTGTGGTAGCAGGAGCTGGTGTGAAGGTATGGAGGAAGGGCCTGGAAAGAGGTCACAGTGCAGTATTTGCACTGAGTTTAAGGGAGAGGAGGCGTAATCTAGGGAGGCAGCGGAAGAAGGGATTTCAAGCCATGCAGGGAACAACCATCCAGTGAGCATATTCTGGATGGGTTGGCAGGCATAACAAGAGCCCTGGGGGAGATGAGAAGATGCAAGAGAGGAGAGGGAAGCAAGAGTCACATCTGAGAGGGTTCTGTGAGGGCTGCTGTTGAGTTTGAATATAAACCTATAAAAAAAAAATGGGAAACTTTTTAAGTCCTGGAGGAATGTGACTAAATTTACGTATGCATATCCACAGAGTGAAGCTGGACTATAAAGGGAGAAGAGGGAAGAAGCAGAAGGAACATTTAAGGGGTCAATTCAAAAGGTCCTTAAGATGGCCTGGGATGGGCATGTAGTAGGCATCAAAGACAACTCACCAGGTTTTGTACTAGAAGATTGGGTGGATCAACAGTAGCATTCACTGAATTAAGAAGGAGCAGCTTGAGGGAGGGTAGTATGGAATATCATGAATCATTGGACCTTAAGGAGCCCTAGGACTCCATGGAGAAAAGGTCCAGGAGGTGAGTGAACCTGGAACTGGGAGAGAGAGATTGAATCAACTCACTCAGCAGCTGTTCCCTGAGTGTTTACCACATAGCAGGGACTGTCTCCATACTGGCATCCAGCATGGGGCAGCTCAGGGTCCTGCTCAAGGAGCTCACGGTCTATAAGGAAAGTGGACCAGCAAGTGTCATGTCATGTCGCAGGAGCCAGGGAGCCAAAGCACGCATTATACTAAGTCCCAAGAGAGGTAGGGGGAATCATAGAAGAAATAATAGCTAACT